ATATGAACAGACTCAAATACAAGGAATACTAGTTAAATGAATATAGAATTGAAATGATAAAAACAACTCCCACAATCTGCTCCCTTGGTTTTATCATTTGGGCACGCTCATGAACTTCTTCACATGCTTCAACAGCATTGGTTTACTCAGTGGTTTCGTCAAGCAATCCGCGGTCATAACTTCATTTGACACATGCTTTACATGAACATTTTCTTCCTTTACAGTTTCTTTGATATAATGGCATCTTCTGTTCAACAGCTTGGATTTCGTTTTAAATGTTCTTTCATTTGCCAATCTAACTGCATTTAAATTGTCGCATCTCAGTTCTGTCTGCAATTCATCTGGCATCCCGATTTCATGTAACAGTCTAGCTGTCCATATGACTTCTTTAGTTCCTTCCAACATTGCCTTTAACTCACTTTCCGTCGAAGAAAGTGCAACTTTTGATTGTTTTTTGCTCTTCCAGTGTATCAAGTCTCCGTTTCTATACACCAATATTCCTGAATATGATTTAGCATCCTTCGTCCTATCCCACGATGCGTCGGTTTCACATTCGACTAGTTCACCCACAGCTTTTCCTCCGAATTTCAGCCGATAATCAATGGTTCCTCTCAAATAACGAAGTACCCTTTTCAGTGCCGTCATATGTATCATTCTTGGGTTATTATTAAATTGTGACAGGTAACTCAGTGTGAACGATATATCTGGTCTCGTATACACACCTAGGTACATAAAACGTCCCATTAATTCTTGATAAGTATGTATATCTGCTTGTTCACTGTCACCACATTCTTCCATAATCACATTTACATCCATTGGTGATCCGACAGGATTACATTCTTCCATCCCGTACAACTGTAATAGTTTTTGAATGTATCTCTTCTGATTTACACGTATTCTTCCTTCTCCTCGTTCTATTTGCATTCCTAGAACCGTATTCGCTTCTCCGAGATGTTTAACATCAATGTACCGTTTGATCTCATCCATGTACTCTCTTTCAAACTCTTCGTCACTCGAAACAATTATCATGTCATCGACATGTACTCCACAATACAGGTAATCACTCTTCTTTCTTACATAAAATAAACAAGGATCTTCCACCGATTGTTTCATTCCACTTTTCTGCATGACATCTGTTAGACATTCGTACCAGCATCTTCCTGCCTGCTTGAGTCCATAAATACTCTTTTTCAATTTACATACTTTCTCTTTGTTATTTCGTAATCCATCCGGCATTTCCATGAAGATTTCTTCCTTCAACGTACCATGTAGGAACGCCGTTCTCACATCATACATTTTTATTTTCTTCTTCTCTTGAGCACATATATTGAATAGTATTCTTAGTGTTTCTGTTCTTACCACCGGCGCAAAGGTTTCTTCAAAATCCACTCCTGGTCTTTGTCCGCACCCGAGTGCCACTAATCTGGCCTTGTATCTCCGTTGCTGCGTATTAGGGTCTTCTTTAATGTTGAAAATCCATTTACACTTTATAATCTTTTTGTCCTTTGGTCGTGGTACAACATCCCAAATTTTATGTTTGTCTAAAGATGTTAGCTCATCTTTAATGGCATCTTTCCAAAATTTCCAATCACTCGACTCCATCGCTTTTTCAATATTCTTAGGAATTTCGTCGTCTGTTACCAGTAATGCTGACTGTTGATTTTTAATTCTATCAGATCTTCTAACGTTGCTATTCTCTATATTTCTTTCTTGCTCTTCTAATCTCCCAACTCTTCGTAATTCCATCACAGCTTTCGTTGTTCCCTTTGGTCTTCCTCTACTTCTAATTTCAATCGGTTGTTCTTGAATCTCTTCCATCACTCCATTTCTCACATTCCCTCCATCATCAATTTCATTTTCCTCTTCCGTGTCGTCACTATTCTCTAGATCTTCCGTGTTGTCATCTTCGAGATCTTCCTGTATTGCATCCTCGTAAACACTCCTTTCAGCTTGCCAATCCTCTTCATATTCTTCTTGATTTTTCATCCATTCTTCATTGTTTTCGGGATTGAGTCCAACGATTATTAATTTTTCCTCACCTTCTCTCTTTTTGTCTTTCCCTTTATTGATCAACTCACATCCATTCCTGGTCTCATCAAATTTAACATCACAGTCGGCTTTCACCTTTCCTGTTTCCGGAACATACACTCTATACGTGTTATTATTTGCATAGCCTACAAATATACCTTTTACTGCCTTTGAATCAAATTTCCTTTTTGTTTTTTCCTTATCCAGGACATACGCTATGCAACCAAATCTTCTCATAAAATTTATGTTCGGTTTCCAACCGTTCCATATTTCGTATGGTGTTTTTCCATGAACCTTAGACTTGCTTCTGTTCTTGATGTACACTGCTGTACTTGCCGCCTCGGCCCAAAAATCCATTGATAGTTTTGAATCTATCATCATCGTCCTCGTCATTTCAATTATTGACTTATTCGCCCTTTCCATTACTCCGTTGCACTGTGGTGTTCTCGCTGGGCTAAATTCATGTTTGATCCCTTTCGATTTGAGCCAGTTTTCCAATTCTTCAGCTATAAATTCGCCTCCATTATCTGATCGAATAGCTTTTAATACCAATTCAGTTTGATTTTCCTTCAATGTTATCAGTTCCTTCAACTTTTTTGCCGCTTCACCTTTTTCTCTCAAAAAATCAATAAATATCACTCTTGAGTAATCATCAATTGTCGTCAAAATATATATCTTACCTCCTCGTGATGATGGTTTTATAGGACCAATCAAATCCGTATGCCACAGTTCCATTATTCTCTTTGTTCGTCTCGCTGGCAATCTAGGATGTGCCTTTCTACAAATCTTTCCTTCCACGCATGGCTCACATTGTCTTAACTCTTTACTTGTTTCTTTCATTCCTATAACAAGGTCTTCTTTCTTCATGTCTTCGATGATTCTCTTATTTATGTGTCCTAGTCGCTTATGCCAAATGTCTACATCCGTATCCGTTGTTGCTTTTTCGTCATTTATTGTTATAGTCTTTACGTAGTACGCATTTTCTTCACGCACGGCTCTCATCTCTATCTGGTCCTCATCTCTGTAAACAACAGCTCCATGTTTATCGAATTTCACATTGTATCCGTGATCTGTAATCTTTGCCACAGACAATAGATTTACATTAATATCTGGGACGCACAGCACGTCTTTTAATCGAATTCTATTATTGACTGAATCTTGTTTTAATACTATTTCTCCCTTTCCGTCAGAGATCAATTTTTT